ATATCAAATTAATCATCTTTTGATGATCTTCGATTTGACATCCATATTGTATGTATAAAATACATAAATTATATTTATCTTTATAATAATAAAAATAATAATATTTATTAAAATTCATTAGAAAAATAAAATTATTTCTCAATTGATATGTTTATGTTTAATGTAGTTATATGTTGTAAGTTTAAAAAATTATTATAATATAACACATGTAAGTCGCACAAATAAAAAATGCCATACTAAATATATAATAATATATATATTTTTATAAAAGGTATTTAAATTTTCATCTACTTTTTCTCATTAATTTTATATAAGAAAAATTTAGCAAGCACCCGTGTAAATAAACTATACAACGCCCGTGTACTACACGGGTGCTTGCTAATTTTTTTTAATATAAAATTAATGAGAAAAAAGTAGTTGAAAATTTAAATTTATTTTATAAAAATATATATATTATTATGTATTTAGTATGACACTTTTTATTTGTGCGACTTACATGTGTTATATTATTATAATTTTTATCTTACAACATATAACTACATTAAACAGAAATATATCAATTGAAAAATAATTATATTTTTCTAATGAATTTTAATAAATATTATTTTTTTTTATTATTATACGATAGATATAATTTATTTATTTCATATATACTATATGGATGTCGAATCGAAGATCATCAAAAGATGATTAAATTTAATATATTATATATGTAAAATCGATAAGAAATACAAAAGTTATCAACTTTTAAAATACATTTACAATTTAATAGCGAATTGAAGGAAACAAATCAAAAGTCAGGGATATATCAATCACTTGGTGCCTCACTATGTAAAATTCCAAAGAATTAAATGGTCATATTAGTACAAGTAAGCAAATCAAAAGTCAGGGATATATCAATCACTTAGTGCCTCACTATGTAAAATTACAAAGAATTAAATGGTTATATTAGTACAAGTGATATTAAAATACCTAAGTTAGCTAAACAAAATTTATGGAATGTCCGAACCTAGATTATTAATTATTAATATATCAATATTATTTGTCCAAACCTAATTACGAAGCATGATTATCCGCCAAGTAGAATTCCAAAGCACCAAAAGCAGCCACGTAGACTCAGCGCATTCGAAAATTAAATATAAGGAGGATCATATACAAATGAATATTGAAAAAAAAAAATTGGATAAGACAAAATCACATAGGGGGTGATTGTTTATGTTTTGAATAGTAAAAAATCTAGAATTTTTTTAATTATGGTTAAGTTTAAGAAAAAGTAGTATGGTTAATTGTTAGTGGATATATTAAAATGATATTTAAAATAAAATAGTTAAAGTTGATTTGATGTAAAAGTAAGAGAAAATGATTGGAAGTGATATTTAATTAAAATTAGTTAAAATTATGTGAGTAGATGAATAGTGAATTAAAGTTGATGTGATATGTAATAATGATTTGTTGATGTTATTTAATTATATAATAATATTGGAGATAGTGGGGTTGAGTTAAAGTTGAGTTAAATTTGAATTTGAGTAAAAAATTACTGTACAACTCATAATCAATCACCCCCATAACATCTTTACAAGTTCATGAGATTTAAAGTTGAATATAAGATCTATGTCGCACATAGACATGGCCGCGGGTCAACCGGCCCGTCGACCCGGCCCAGACCCAACCCGGTTAAACCCGTTGACCATGGGTCCACGCTCGGCTCGGATTTCAACCGGGCCAATCAAGGGTTGAGATTTTTTGACCCTGACCCGACGAGCCGGGCCCAGGCCCGGGCCTGTGCCGAGTCCGTGCCGGCACGAGAAAAACATATGTTTTTCAAATTTCTTTTTTTTTTCTTTTTTTATTAGGGCGGGACCAAACCCGGGCTAGGCCATTTTTGCTAGAAAAGGATAATTTCATAATTTTAAAATCTTCCATTTGTGAGTAAAAGCCAAATTAAAAAATAAAAGCACCTCCCTCTGTCACCATCAATTGGACTTGTTGGGTGACAACTGAAAATGATAACTCAATCAATTTCATCTTTATCCCCATCGTTATCTCCAGACTCCCAGCTATGCTTTAAATATGGCTTTCTGAAGCGCACACGCTATTTTCGATTTGAGGCATAAAATCGAATCGCCGTCTTTTCCAGTCACCGGCAATGGCGGCGACGGAGGCGGCGGTGGACGGCGAAGTTG